CTGTCCCTTAAGGACCCTCTCTGTGTACTGCGGTGGGGCTGTGCCAGGGTAGCAAGCTCACCGTGCTCTCTTCTGAATTACCTTTACATAGTAAGGGGTCTGTAACTTGTTTGATTTGGCATTAAAGTTGTCACCAGTTATAAACATTTCCTGAACATTTTTGCCAGTGAAGGCAGATGTAGCCTTTCAGGTGGAGTGTGGTTGGGAGTGAATGCACTGTGCCGGGAAAGGTTTGCAGTAAATGCAACCTCTTTGCAAAAATAGGTTATACTTGTGCTGTAGTTATTAGGAAACTACAATTGCTCACTCTGACTTTTAAACATTAGTATTTTAAGATTTGCTTTAAGTGTAAAACTTCACTTCGTTTTCCTTCAAGGCAGTTACAGAGAAGGGCAAAGGTCCTGAAGCTTCACAGCCAGGGTTTCAACCCTGTTTCTACCACTTTTATCAGATGAGAAGTGGTAGAAAGTGACCTTGGATGAGTTACTTAAATTCCTTGTACTTCTCTTTGTCTCTCTATAAATGGAAACAATAACAATATCTTAAAAGCTTGTTTTGGGGATTAAACAAAGTAATATATTAAAAGTGATTAGCACAGTAACTGACACATATTAAACATTGGATAAGTCCCTACAGAAACTAAATATTACATATGAACATGCGTGTGCACACACGCACACACAGACACACAAAAGTTCTACTCATAAAGAGCATTACTGTGAACAATGGATGATTTATGTCAGTCAGGCCCTTGTACTTGCCCCTCTCCAAAGTGATTTCCCTTGGATTAGTACTGCAGAAAGAAGCAGAAAAACGAGATNAAGCTCAACCGGCGGCGCCAGCAGCAGCCGCCGTCGTCCTGTTCGTCCACTTCATCATCCACCGCTTCGTCCTGCTCGTCGTCGCCACGGGCCCAGGAGAGCGCGTCGGTGGAGCGCATGGAGACGCTGGTTCATCTTGTGCTCTCCCAGGACCACACCATCCGCCAGCAGGTGCAGCGGCTCCGGGAGCTGGACCGCGAGATCGACCGCTACGAGGCCAAGGTGCACCTGGACCGCATGCGACGGCACGGGGTCAACTACGTGCAGGACACTTACTTGGTGGGGGCAGGCATCGAGCTCGACGGGCCCAGTCCGGGGGAGGAGCCGGCGGAGGTGGCGGCGGCGAAGAAGGAGGCGGCGGCAGGGGCACCCCTGGACGGCGAGGCGCAGGCAGCGGCCCTGGAGGAGCTGGCCAGACGCTGCGACGACCTGCTGCGGCTGCAGGAACAGCGGGCCCAGCAGGAGGAGTTGCTCGAGCGCCTCTCAACCGAGATTCAGGAGGAGCTGAACCAGAGGTGGATGCGGAGGCGCCAGGAGGAGCTGGCGGCACGGGAGGAGACCCCGGAGCCCGACGGCAGCCCCGACGGTGAGCTGCTGCTGGAGAAGGAGCGGGTTAGGACGCAGCTCAGCACCAGCCTTTACATCGGGCTCCGGCTCAACACGGACCTGGAGGCCGTCAAGTCGGACTTGGATTACAGCCAGCAGCAGTGGGACAGCAAGGAGCGCGAGCTGCAGGGCCTTCTCCAGACTTTGCACACTTTGGAGCTGATGGTGGCACCGGATGGGGATCCCGGTTCCGGCGGACCCTCGCGGGAACCCGGGCCCCAGGCGTGCGCCGAGATGTGGGTAGACCAGGCCCGCGGACTGGCCAAGAGCTGTCCTGGGAACGACGAGGACTCGGATACGGGACTGAGCTCTATGCACAGCCAGGACTCGGACTCGGTGCCCGTGTGCGAGTCCCTTGTATAGGAGGGACAGGGAGGGAGAGGGGACGGACGCTTATCCCTTTCTTGCAGAATAAACTGGCCCAGCCGGCTCTGGTACTGGAAGCCAGGCTGGGGTGAGCCTGGAGCTCTGGCCTGGCAGCGGCTCTCCCCTGGCTCCGGGGTGAGCGTGGAGAACGGTGAAGGACGAGGGAGCTGGGTCTCAAAGCAAGCTCAGTTCAGGGAAGGAAGGATGGAAGAGGTGAGAACCCCTGTGTAGAAAAACAAACCCCCCAGGGAAATTGACGTGGTCCAAGCCCATTTTCAAAAAAAAAAAAAAAAAGAAAAAGTATTATGGAGATTTCACCACTCTTCTGTATGGGAAGGACTGATGGCAGCTAGAATTTTAGTTTGTGGCACAAAGTGCTTTTAAAAAGAAACACTTGGATGAAAAGGAAATTCCTTGAATGTTAATTGTGACTGTCAACGTGTTAAAACTAGCCAAAGAGGACGCACTGGTGCTGGTCTCAGCCTTACTTACATCTTTGTTTGATAAACCCATAGGCAACAAAATCCTGGCTGTTTACATTTCTGCAGATTTGGGAAATACCCATCTGTTAAATCATTTGCGTTTTATTTTCTTTCAAAGGCTAAACTGTTTTTAAGTCTAACCCTGTATTTCCTCTTTAAATACAGTATATGTTAAAACAAGATACTATTTTAAAAACAACCTTTTATTATTACAAAAGCCAAACGTAAATCTCTTTGAGATATAAAGTCCTGGCAAACATAATCCCTGGTTAAAATTTAATCTGGGCCCTGTGGGATCTATTCCTGTAAAGGCAGGTGTGTTGTCCTTTAATTCGTATTGCCACTTCATTGACTCAATCATGGTTATTTCAGAAAAAAATGAAAGGGAAGTTGTAGAGTTCAAGTCATGCACAACTAAATAAATTTGCTGTTTAATGAGCACACTAGTGAGAACTCAGACTGGAAAGCAAAGATCTTTGTTAGTGTTCAGCTTTTAAATTGAGCTGTATGATTAAAACCAACCATGAGCTCAACCAATTTTATCCAAACCCAGGTCTAACATCAGTACCTTTGGTCAGAGATTAATTAGTTACTTGTTCAAACTTAAATTGAGAGAGTGTAAATATCAGGTTTCACTAGATAAGGCCAAAAAAAAAAAAAAAAAAAAAAAAAAAAACCTCATAGTACACCTTGGGTGAACAATTTGGTAGCAACAGCACGTAGCCATGGATAAAAGCATATAAAAGTGAGCTAAGAACACGAATGACTCTTGTCTGGTGCTCGCCTGTGCACATGCATTCTCAGCTGGTGACAGAGCTAGTGGGGACTCACCGTAATTGTTCCAGTGATTTCAATTAAAACTTATCAGTTGTAGCTAGTTGTTGGCCCCTCGGAAGGAGCCTGCTGGCCGATTTCCCTCTGGAGCTCAGTACTTTTGAGGAATGTGGGATCTAATCTGTCCTGAGGAGGTTTTAACAATGGGGTTTGTGTGTGGTGCCAGCCCGGTGCAGAAGCCTGGTATCAACCTAACTGTCGAGGGGCTGGCTCCAGTTTCAGCACTACATGTGAAGATAAACTGAAGAGGTCTTGCCTTACAGAGAAGTTTCTCCCCTTGCAGAGATTCTCCATCTGCTTGTTGCCAGTGAGAGGCTGCCCTTCTGACCCCCTCAAGCCACCCTTTGTGCTGTCTCCCTTTTGGAGACGGCCCTGTTGCTGCCACTGCCACTGCCATGGCCTTACAACACGTGTGCATGTTTTCAGATTTTCAAGTAAAATGGGAATTAAAAGGCTGTTTTCTTAATTGATGTTTTCAGAAGACATTAGCTGGTATAATTATGGTTTTTTAATTTTGTCTGGTGCAGAAAACATCTACGTATTTGGTCTCGAGCATGATTAAAATGAGGAAGGGACCAAAAGAAACCCACTGTCCCTAGACAATCATTTGATCCTATAAACACAAAGCCTAATGATAGCTTTCATTTTGAGGCAGAGGTAAAATCCTCATTAGGGTGTGACAAATGCTACTTGTCTGAATGGTTTATGCTGGCAATGGGCTGACCTGGTGGTTTTAAAATTATTGTGCTTTTTTTTCCCCCCCAGGGTGGTAGGGGAGGTGGTTTTTGGACGTTTATTAACTCAGTAAGAACACAGAAGTTGGCAAAACAGGACTGCCTGGCAGAAAGGGGCTGTTTTTCTTTTCATCATTATTATTTTAAACTTTGATGGGTTGCTGACGTCAGCAAATATGCTTGAAACCTGTAAAGCAAATAAGCCACATCACAGGGAGAAGGCCTGTGGGGTTTTCTAGTGCCCTGTTTCTCGAACCTTCCCCATCCTAACCACTTGAAGATGCTTCTCTAGTCAACTCTTTGGGCAGCGAGGGAGGCTTTATTGATAACGAAGCACAGCCTGGTCTGCCCATTTTTTGCTTTCATCCAAATGAATTATATTCCTAAAAGGTACTTACTCTCTGTGTGGATGGGAGAAAGGAGAACGTGGGGAGTTGGGCAAGAAGACAATAGTTTCTTTACTAAGAGCTTTTGCAAGCCGGAGAACGGTGAAATATAGGTATAAAAAGCAACAAAACAGTGCCTGTGCATAGGAAGTGCCTAATAAATGCTAAATATTTTTAGATTGCACTCACATTAATAGTCATCATGTCACTAAGGATAAGAATGAATGCACAGCAGTGAATGTACCAGCATTAGGATTTTGGCGCCCTTGGGAAAAGTAACTCAGCTCCTGAGTAATGGAAATCCTGGGGAGGAACCAGTAAGCTCGTGGAGAAGAGTATGAATGTAGGCTCCTCATCAGCCAGCCCCATCCTTTTTTTTTCCAACTTAGACAATTTATTGTATCTTTGATCTGAATTATCCCATTCTTGGCCATCTCCCAAACCAAAAGATTCCATATGGCATCTCTATGTTTACTTACTTTCTTATTAAACATATTTATTATTATTGTTATTCTAATTAGAAAAGTTATATACTGTAGTCCTTATGATGAACCTGACAATAATATCAATAAAAAGAAAAGTCGCTCTAAATCTCTATCAAATCTCTGTCAAAAGGTCCTGAAGAAGATGCACTAAATTTTGCTCTTACAACCAAAACTTGGTGCATCTTCTTCAGGGCCTTTTGAATTGTGAAGGTTTCATATTTTGCTTTTGTTTTAAAATATATATATATATAATTTTTATAAGATTGCATATATACCTTTATCTTCAGGTTTTAACAGAAGGGCCTTTTGAATTGTGAAGGTTTCATATTTTGCTTTTGTTTTAAAATATATATATATATATATATATAATTTTTATAAGATTGCATATATACCTTTATCTTCAGGTTTTAACAGGCTTGTAAACATCCATCCATCTGGTGGATATGCCATAGTTTATATAACTGCTCATGTTATCAGATGTTTCCCATTTTTTTTTTACTGTTATAAATAACACCATGATAAGCTTCTTTGTGCATGTATCTGTTTCCCCAATTAGACTCCCCCACTTTCCCCAATAAGATAGGTTCCCGTGAAGAGAAATCCCAGGACAAAGAGCACAGACATTTAGAGGCTTGATACTTATCGCCAAATTGCTTTTGAAAAGATTTGTGATAAGTATAATCAGCTATGCATGAGAGGGCCTATTTCACCACAGCCGAGCGTTCATTAGGTATTATATTTTGTTAAGCGAATTTTAATTAAAATTAATTCATTAATTCTTTGTGGCCTCAGGAAGCCAGGGCTGACAATCATTAACTTAAAATATCCTTACAACAGCAAGGGCAGTCAGCAGATCAGAAGAGTTAAGAGGACATGTGTGGTGTTTTCTCTCCTTTCCATATTTTTTCCTTCTCTGAGCACCTGCTTAAGGTAATAGCGATTTTGTCTCACATTAAGAATTGGCCAATGATCTGAGAACAGGAGGGACAAAAACTCCATGTGAGCAGGATTAAGGAGATAACAAATAGAACCAGATTTATAAAAAGAAAATATTCATTATCTCTTTCATCTTGAGTCTAGTGAAAAAGGTTATTCTTAGAAGGTGCCATAAAACATATTTAATTTTGTGCTTCTCCGTACTCACCCATATCAAAAATTAAATCAAAGTAAAACAAATGTATAAACCCAGCGGTTTATTACTAGCTCCTAATAAACAGTTTTGATTTTTCTGGGAATCTCTTTTTACTTATGATACTGCACCGGAGCATGTTCTTAAATTCTTGGAAAGGGATGGTTTGATCATGACAACCTGTGAAATTTGTTTGTGAAATTTGTTTTTCTAAACAGAAAGAAAGGAGGATGAGGAGGAACCAATTTTTAAGAGCTTTCCAGATCCTGTGCTGAGTATTTTCACGTGCATGTTCTCTGCATTGATAAATTTGTTTTTCTAAACAGAAAGAAAGGAGGATGAGGAGGAACCAATTTTTAAGAGCTTTCCGGATCCTGTGCTGAGTATTTTCACGTGCATGTTCTCTGCATTGATCCTGTGAGATAGAACTTTTTAGTGTCTGATTTTTACAGATAAAGAAGCTAAGGCCACCCAGCTGATAAATCGCAGATGCAGGATTCCAACCCAAGCCTGACCCAAAACTGTAGGCAACTGTGCCCTAGTTGCTACACACCGTAGATACACTACACATATTGAGTGTTTGGCACAGCCAGAAAAAAAGTCCTCACAGGTCCCAGAGTGTTGGCACTGGACAGGCTTCAGAGATGATCAAAGTCTTGTCCAGGTATTTTCACCAGGGAGGTGGGGTGATTTTTCTCAAAATCACAGAGCAAGTAAATATCTACTAGATGAGGATTTAGCCAAAGGCAGAGGAGGAGAAATTCCTAGTAAATACCTGGGCAGCTGTCTGTGAGAAGTGAAGACTTTGCAAATGAAAACAATTTGTCACAAAAAATTAACAATACCCCATGTATCAGCATGGAGGTTTTTACTGAAGGTCCCAAGGGCTATAGTCGCTCTATAGAGCACAGGTGCATAGTCAACAACATGGACTATTTGGCCATCAGGGCAGACAGCTGTGTGCTATTCACTGGAGTATTCTGGAAGGTGGTATCACCCATGGCTGTGCTGGTGCTGTCCCCAGCACTTTTAAACAGGC